TCGCATGGCTGCACATACATGCTTAAACACATCATTCTTTAATCTGGAGCAGAGCACATCCAACCAGGTGAGACAGGACGTGGAGAGCTGTTCTGATGGTCCCAGATGTCTCCCTGCTTCAAATGTACTTGAGAATTTCCTATAACCTTAAAATTGTTAGCAAAGCTACACACTTTATATGAGTCTGATTTGATTTGACCCTCCAATCCTTTTTATTATCTCTTTGTTATTTCAAGGGAAACTTACAGCTTGAGATAACTATATTAAAAAAGAAAAAAGTCTGAAAATTCGTGATCTAAGTAACCAAATTTAAAACATGTGGGAGAGCAAACACAAAGAAAGTAGAAGGAAGAAAAGGAAGGTAATAACATTCCAAATTAATAAAATATAAAGCAAAATAACAACAAAAACCTAGAGATAATCAAAAAGTTTTGATCTTAGCAATTTGAAAAGTTTAACACAAATGAATTACCTCTGGCAAGACTGTCAAGACTAAACAGAGGAGAACCAGAAGAAACAAATACAATATTATGAGTGTAAAGAAGAAACAAGTGCATATAGATATAAAAATAAAGACTATTATTAACAGTATTGTACCAATACATTTAATATTTAACCAAACAGATTTTTAAAAGAAAGAATTATAACTCGCTAATCAATAGTGAATAGAAGATAAACATAAAACTTAATAGTACTAAGGTCAATCAATATTTTGTATCAATAATTATATCCCTCCAAATTAAGAGGTAATTTTAGCCAAATATTCCAGAAAACAATAATAAAAATTTATTATCTTTTTTTGAAGAACAGAAAATAAAGAAGCACTCTATAATTCAATCTTGAAGTTATAAAACCCTTATTACCAAAACAAGACAAGAAATGTTCAGAAAACATAGGGGCCAATGTTACTGAATAAGAAAGATGCAAAAACCCTAAATGAATGATTATGAAAAAAGATCTAGAAATATATTAAATTACAATAAACTTTAAAAAATTGTTTGTCCCAGGAATGAAGTTTGTTTAAAAATTTTAAATCCATGTACGCAAGTCATTAAATTTAAAGATTAAAGGAAACAAAAGTCCAGAAAAATGTTAGTAGATGTAGAAAAAGCATTAATGAAATTCACCACAGGTTCACAATTTATAGAAAATTATAAAGAACGATCTTTACAAACCATAAAAACTCATATTTAATGACAAAACATTAGAAGTCTCACTTTAAAAATCATGAATAGGAATATGCGTGCACATTTTAGTCACCTTCATTCAACAGGGTGCACACACAAAAAAATCAGCCTAGTGATAGAGAAGGAAACGGAAAACAATTACATTGAGAAGAAAGTAAAAATTAAAACTTATTATTTTCAAATGATTTAACAAACATTAGTGAACTAATAGGAGAGTTAAACTTGTTATATGAAATAAAATATATAGAGTTGTATATGTATTATATTAATATTTATATGTAATATATAAAATTAAATACGATTTGGAAGAGATGAGTGAACACCAGGTTCTATTCTTTAAGCCAAATTATAAGTGCACAAATATATAATTTTATCAATATTCTTTAAACTTTACATGTATTTTTCAGATATTTTTACACATGCAAAGTATTTTCTATTTTAAAATACCAAAATACTATTCTGTAAAAAAATTCACTCTCTGCCTGTTATACAGAACACATGTTATGGAAAAGATACATTAGGAAAACCTTAATAAATAAACACACTATCGGTATTTCGATACAAATAAATGTGATGCTGCCATGAAATGCAATTTTGTATTCAGAGAAAATACTGCCTGCAAAGCCAAAAATTATAGTTAAAAGGTCCTGTTAATGGTAATAAAAATTGTTATCCCAAACAGAGCTAACCATTTATAAATGTGAGTCATCTGAAAATACTATTGGTCAGCTTGTTTAAGATATATGGCTGTAACTTTACAGAACAATCTGAAAAAGATTAGTAATTTGTTTTATGATTTCTGTCAACTGAGAACACAGAATAATCACCCAATTTAATTGTTTATTTGTTTTTGGAGACAGGGTCTTGGTCTGTCACCCAAGCTGGAGTGCAGTGCCACATGCAACATCTGCTTCCTTGGTTCAAGGGATCCTCCTATCTCAGCTTCCCAGTAGCTGGGACTACAGGCGCATATCAGCAGGCCTGGCTACTTTTTGTATTTTTTTGTAAAGACATGGTTTCATTCTGTTTCCCAGGCTGGTCTCCAACTCCTGGTCTCAAGTGATCCACCCGCCTCACCCTCCCAAAGTGTTGGGATTACAGGCGTGAGCCACCACGCCTGGCCCCATTATTTTTAGAATAGTGAGAGTTTCCATATGACTGTAGTAGTTACATCATGAACAAAAGAACATCAAAAAATGATTTATTTTGGATATTTTTTAAAGTGTTATTATGTTGAATGTAGTTTCACAGTAGTAAATATGACCTCCCACTGTGTTCTTATGATAGAATTAATGACAAACTTTTTCAAAAGTTAGTACATAAATAGGTTGAGTACATTATCCAGCAAAGATGGACTTTAGACTTAAAAGTTTAAAATATTCGAAGACATAGTAATAAACACTGGCAACAAATACACAGGATTGATAAATTCCTGTGGCTGAAACACAGACATTTCAATGCTTTGCTGGATTAGCTGAATGTTGTTTATAACGGTTGGTTGTCTTACATACAGAATAGGAAGTTTGATGATGGTGTGAAGCCAAAGTGATAAAAGTAAACTTTAACTGATAATCCCTATTGATGTTAGCATTCCAAATACGGTTTTTAATGTCACTTAAATACAAAAATCCTAAACTTGCTAACCAGGCACATTTTAAAAGACAATGTATTAACTATATTATTTTCCAAAGTGTTAGCCAAACAGACATATTTCCATTTCTTATGCCTTTACAGAAGACTGTATCACAGAAGACTTACATTCCATTAAATCATGTGATATATAGTTTTATCTGCTATATATATCTATTGCATCAAACGACTGTGGGAGGCTTAAGTCATGCTTAATATGATTAACTTTGTAGCTTTTGCTTGCAAAAGAGTATAGACTGAATCATTTTCTTTTCCAATTTAAAATAGGCTTTGTCAAGTCATTCAAAGGAAAATCATCAGCTCAGCTCTCTGAAGTCTTGGAACAAACTATTAGTCTTTTTAATTCACATTATAATCAACCCCAAAACTTTCAGTAGTTCTTTCAACTATTTAAATATGAGTTACACACCTGTATGATTTGATTACTCTGTTCATTCCAAATTGTGTTTTTGGGGAACTTATTTTAAATAAATAACTTGTTCCATGTTACTAATCTGAGATTGGGATCAATTTCCAGAAATAAAAACAAGCTTTTGCTTAAGCTTTACAAAACAAACTCTATAAATGAAAATGAAATAACATTATTTTTTTCAATTAATATTGATAGAAGAAATAAAGAGCTACAAACCAAGGTTTTTCAAATATTTAGAAAATATGTGGTGATGAAATAAGATTCTAACCCAAGGCTAATAATTTTAAATAAAATCCATTGTGTCATGACCTTATCCACGTTTGGAATTACTAAATGACTGTTTTCAATTATAACCCTGAAAAAAATTGTAGTAAGTTGATTGCAATAATAACCCCAATAATTTTCTCCTCCCAGTATTCATTTTCCTTTGCAATGTCACTGCATCATCTTCCATCAAGAGGTGGAGTCTAATCTCCTACCCATAGATCTGTGCCAGTTCTGTGACTTGCTTTGATCAATAAAATGTGACAGAAGTGATAGTGCACCAGTTTTGCGCGTTGGCCTGAAGAGGCCTTCTGTGCTTCTGTCCCTCCTCTTGAAACTGCCAAAACCCAGAGATCAAGCCCCTTAATAGTATGCTGGAATATGAGAGACAAGCGAGTGCAGAGCTGAATCAGCCTAATTTTCCCAGCCAAGACCCTAGACCTGTAAACAAGGTCAGCCAAAATAAGTAAGATCAATAATGGTACTGAATTAACCTGTGGCTTACTGCAGATTCACGAGTGAGCTGTACTGAGCCCACCTGATATCAGCAGAACCATCCAGCAGACTCATGCACAAGTGAGCATAAAATGAATGTTTATGATGCTGTATGCACCTGCATTTTTTTGGTTGGTTGTTACACAGCATCAGTGCAGCAGTAGATAACTGATACAAAGACTACCTATTGTTCTCAAAGTATTCAACGTTAAGTTCTACACCAAGGTTGGCAAATGTTTTCTGGAAAGCATCAGATAGTAAAAATTTTGGATTTTGTAGGCCAAATGCAGTCTCTGTTGCATAGTCCTTATTGTCTTCTTTTTTCTTTTCACAACTCCTTACAAATATAAAAACCATTCTTAATTTGGGGTCTGTAAATAAAAGGCTGCTGGCCAGATTTCGGCAATGGGCTATAATTTGCTGACCTCTTTTTATATCATGCAAAGATATGACATTGCTAACATGATACAGAATAAAAGATGTCAGAGCTCAGGATGCAACAGAAAATAGAGCAAATTAATGCAATAAAATCATATAATTTAAAAAATAGAATTATATTAGTATTTTCATTTCTAATTTTCCATGTTTAGCTTCAGTGGTATGCTGGTAAAAGTTTAGTATCCAGCTGTTAGTTGGGAATAAATACTACCACCAGGGCCAATTTGAAGTTACCAGTGGAGTGGAATTGACAAGAGATATATACAAGAGCTGATTCCAGCACACCGTTGTTGTACTGCTTACCTATTTTATTATCCATAACATAGTTCATCCATAATTATAAAAGAAACTGATTATAATTCAGATAACGTGTTTTTGTTACACTGACTCACTCTTTTCTCTTAGCTCACTTTACTGGTCCCAGTAAGTTTTGGTTTTGTGACCATTATCCTGGAAAAGATTACTATCTTTGCAGTTGCCCTCCTCTGTAAGTGATTTGAATTCCATTTATCTATGAACTATTTTCAAAGAAAATCAATTTATGACAAACTTACCTGTATTGGTTTGATCATCTCTAGTGGAAGAAGAGGAAACTGTCTTGTTTTCAGGCATAGTTATCAGAATATTTTAAAACCTAATTAGAAAGAAAAATATTTAAATATCATGAATCTAAATTAGTTTGTATTTTTACTAAAAATTTGCAATTCAAGAACTGTCAGGAAAAATTTCTACTATAAAAGATATGAGATATATAATATACATTCTTACATATATATATTCTTATATATATTATGTATCAGTACTAAATTATATGTAAAATGTAAGGAAGTCCAACAATGTACTCTTTTTCTTATTAGGACTATTATGATCTCATTCAGAAATATCAAATATAAAAATCTTCATTAAAGAGGGATCTTTGATCTTCTACTTTGCTGGTGACTTAAACCAATACCTAGGCTGACCATGAGATTATTTAGCATTGGCAATTGCAGCTATAGGTTCAAAGCCCTGGGGAGATTCTAGAACCTACGATGTTTTCATTTCATATAATAAAAGTTTAACTTTACTACCATCTCTTCTTTACCTTCCTTCAGTTCCTTTTCCAAATATTTTAAGAGTAGAGCAAAAAGTGCAATGGATTTCTATATGTCCATCAACCAATTTCAACAATTATCAATTTGTGGTCAATTCTGAATTCTATACACCCACCAACTGCCCTGTCTCCCCTACTTCTGATAATGGTTAAGCAAATCACAAGTATCATATTATTGTATCTGTAAATACTTCAAAATTTTTTTAAACATAGCTATAATACCAATAATGTAATTAACACAATTAATGATATTTTAATATCACTAAACATCTTTTGTGTTCACATTTTTGTCTCATATTTTCTGTTTTTAAGAATGGTTTAAAGTAATAAAACAAACAAGGTCCGTACATAGCATTTAAGTGAAATGTCTCTTAATTATCTTTTAGTCTATGTGTCCTCTGTTCCATTTTTTTCTCACTGTACTTTACCTATGTAAATATCAAATATTTTGTCCTATAGATTTTTCTACATCGCTGGCAACCTCCCTGTGCTGTATTTAACAAGTTTCTCTGTTCCCTATAATTCCTGCAAATTGGTATTAATTAGAAACTTAAAGTGCTGAACAGAAAGAAAATAATTCTATAAACACAGAAATAACATGAGAAATAACAATTGTCTCATTTAATTTGCAGATCTAAATCATTATAGAGTTTAGAGACTGGAAATCATCTAATTTATTTTTTGTTTGTTTGTTTCACAAGTCAGAAAATCTTGACTGAAATTAGTAAATTAATACAATGAAAAAAGACTTCTTAGACAAAAGTGCTATGAAAGAAAACCCTAAATCCAAGCCTAGTGCTCTTCCAAATAAACCACTCTACCTCATAAAGACCAACTTTTAAAGAAAAGTAAGCTATAGAAAAGAGCATAACTGAATGCTGAAAGAACATAACAGTGTTTTATGGACATTAACTTTTTTAATTCAATGAAGATTATAGTTGAAACATATAATTTTATTTCCTCTACTACACAAAATTACCAGAAAAATTAAATAATATTAATAAGAAAATTAATTCCTCCAGTAAGATAGAACTGGGTATATTGAAAAAAAAGTGCTTCTACTATTATTAAAAAAATCTGGTTAAAATATAATTTTTGAATCTTCAAAAAAGCATCTAAGAATTAGCAAAGTAATAAGGAATACATAGTTCCAGATCTAATAGAAGTCAAAAATCCAGAGAAGTGAGACTAACATTTTAGGCCACTTTTTCCCTTGGGGCAACATCTGACCCAGGAGAAGCAACTGAGACATTGGGCAGTACTTGTGAGGGCCACACAAAACTTTGGAAACACAAGATGGAATCCAGACTCTGCCAAGTGTAGGTGCCCTGAGAAATTAACCCATTCCTAGGACTGAGACCCCAAAAGTCTGTATTTTAAGAAACAGAATGAAACAGAAATAAAGTCTGTTAGATGACTGCCCATAGACTGAAGCCCAGCCTCAAATTACCTGGGTAATTCCAAACTTCAGTAAGGCCATTCTTGCCCATTTTGTGTGTTCAAAGGTCACTCAACACACAAAATGACTACATAACCAAAATCAACAGAAACAAAAGAAAACATAAACTAATCCAAAGTTACTCTAAATAGCAAAATTACCAGATAATATATCACTAGACAACTTTGTTTAACATCTTTATAGATCAATCACGTTTATAACATCAAATTTTAAAATGTCAGAACTAAAAATAATAAAAATTAATATTGTAAATTTGAAAAGCAGCCAGTTAGAAATCTGTGAACTGACAACTGCCATAACTGCAATTCTAAACTCCCTGGTTTAATTTTAATGTAGCTGTGACTAGGCTGAAGAAGGAATCAGTAAAGCAAATTTAGAAAAAAAAACTACCTTGAATAAAGCATGCAGTTACATAAGAACAGAACAGAGCCCTCACATCTACACATCTACAACCATCTGATCTTTGACAAACCTGACAAAAACAAGAAATGGGGAGAGGATTCCCTATTTAATAAATGGTGCTGAGAAAACTGGCCAGCCATATGTAGAAAGCTGAAACTGCATCCCTTCCTTACGCCTTATATAAAAATTAATTCAAGATGGATCAAAGACTTAAATGTTAGACCTAAAACCATAAAAACCCTAAAAGAAAACCTAGGCAATACCATTCAGGACATAGGCATGGGCAAGGACTTCATGTCTAAAATACCAAAGGCAATAGCAACAAAAGCCAAAGTTGGCAAATGAGATCTAATTAAACTAAAGAACTTCTGCACAGCAAAAGAAACTACCATCAGAGTGAACAGGAAACCTACAAAATGGGAGAAAATTTTTGCAATCTACTCATCTGATAAAGGGCTAATATCCAGAATCTACAAAGCACTCAAACAAATTTACAAGAAAAAACCAAACAACCCATCAAAAAGTGGTCAAAGGATATGAACAGACACTTTTCAAAAGAAGACATTTATGCAGCCAACAGACACATGAAAAAATGCTCATCATCGCTGGCCATCAGAGAAATGCAAATGAGATCAAAACCACAATGAGATACCATCTCACACCAGTTAGAATGGCAATCATTAAAAAGTCAGGAAACAACAGGTGCTGGAGAGGATGTGGAGAAATAGGAACACTTTTACACTGTTGATGGGATGGTAAACTAGTTCAACCATTGTGGAAGACAGTGTAGCAATTCCTCAAGGATCTAGAACTAGAAATACCATTTGACCCAGTCATCTCATTACTGGGTATATACCCAAAGGATTACAAATCATGCTGCTGTACAGACACATGCACACATTATGTTTATTGTGGTGCTATTCCCAATAGCAAAGACTTGGAACCAACCGTCCATCAATGATAGACTGGATTAAGAAAATGTGGCACATATACACCATGGAATACTATGCAGCCATAAAAAAGGATGAGTACATGTCCTTTGCAGGGATGTGGATCAAGCTGGAAACCATCATTCTCAGCAAACTATCACAACCACAAAAATCCAAACACCACATGTTCTCACTCATAGGTGGGAACTGAAAAATGAGAACACTTGGACACAGGATGGGGAACATCACACAACGGGGCCTGTCCTGGGGTGGGTGGAATGGGAGATAGCATTAGGAGATATACCTAAAGTAAATGACGAATTAATGGGTGCAGCACACCAACATGGCACATGTATACATATGTAACAAACCTGCACGCTGTGCACATGTACCCTAGAATTTAAAGTATTTAAAAAAAAAATTCACAAGCAAGCGTAAGTTCAACACTCCTGGCCTCTACTTTTGGGAAGATGGAATAGATACACTTTTACTTATTACCTCCTGTAAGTACAAGAAAAAACTCTGGGTGCATTATATATAAAGTCAACATAAGAAGACTGAAAGGTGTAGAGAAGAAGGCAGACTGGCTAGGAGACTTGTTGCCAGAGAAATAAGGAGGTAGTAACATTCGGAGATTTTCTCTATGCTTTGTATATTCCAAACGTGAAGTAGAAGAGACCAGCAACCCAGAAATGCCAGTGGGTATAGACAAAATAAAGCTCCAACGAAAGCCTGCTTTCTTTAGCCAAGAGACCAGTAAAAGGGCGGCTTAGTAAGAGAGAATACATTAAGACAGTAACATCTCTACTACACATCAGAAAAAAACTGACCTGGTCGGGCGCGGTGGCTCACGCCTGTAATCCCAGCACTTTGGGAGACCGAGGCGGGTGGATCACAAGACCATCCTGACTAATACGGTGAAACCGCATCTCTACTGAAAATACGAAAAAAGCCGGGCGTGGTGGTGGGCGCCTGTAGTCCTAGCTACTCAGGAGGCTGAGGCAGGAGAATGGCGTGAACCTGGGAGGCGGAGCTTTGGAGTGAGCCGAGATCGCGCCTCTGCACTCCAGCCTGGGCAACAGTCAAGACTTCGTCTCAAACAAAACAAAACAAAATTAAAAAAAAAAAAAAAGGCAAGGGAAAAAACTGCCCCCACAAAGACTGAATCAGAAGCCTGGACTATATCTACCCTGGATAGGCTATAATGAGGACCCCAAATTTCCTACTGGGGTGGTATCAGAGGAAACAGTAGGGATTAAAGACTTTCATCCTTAGTGATTGGACTCAAGCACCACACCCTACTCCTCAACTCTCCCACCACTTCAAGGCCATTTGAAAACTATGTGGGGAGCCTGGACTTCCACCCACACCCAGAAGTAAAGAAGTACCTTTATTCTTCCCCACAGGATAGTGTGAGACATTACTTGCACCACAACCCAGCAGTAAAAAGGCTACACCACTCTCATGGTGTCAGTGGAAGCCACATAGAGAGAAGTAACAAGGCATTCCTCCTACCCCTTCCAGCCAGAAGGAGCTGGAACTCCCACCCTTGCCCAGCAGTAAAAGTGCAAAGTGCAAATTAAAACCATAATGAGATATCTACCTATGAAAATGACTAAAATTTAAAAAATATAGTTGCAACATGAAATTCTGGCAAGTATTAGAGAAACTGGGTCACTTATGCATTGCTGGTTAGAATGCAAAATGACGTAACCACTCTGGAAAATACTTTGGCAGTTCCTTTCCTATCT